ACTTTCACGACTGAAGACGGCACAACTAAGGTTTGAGTTCTTTGAGATTCTTTTAGCTTTCTGTTTGGGGCTGAAAATGTTGGCTTTAGTTTCTTCTTGTTGTTGTTGTTATTTGATTTGTTTTTGTTTATTGAGATGGGGTCTCACTATGTAGCCCTTGCTGGCCTGAAATCCACTGTGCAGACTAGACTGGCTTCAAATTCAGGGATCTGCTTGCATCTGCCTCTCGATTGCTGGGATTAAAATGTGTGCCACCATCACTTCTGGTCTGTTGTAGTTTGGGACTAGACATCCTCAAAGAAAACAAGAGACATTTATTTCTGCCATCGTCCCTTTCTCCTCCTCCTCCTTCTTTGGACTTTTATTTTTATGTTATGTGTTTGGGTGTGTTGTCTTCGTGTATGTCTGCGCACCGTATCATGCAGTGCCCATGAAAGCCAGAGGGTGTTGGACTCCCTGGAACTGGAGTTACAGATGGTTGTGAGCCACCACATGGGTTCTGGGAATGGAACCATGGTCTCTGGAAGAGGAATTGCTCCTGATTCTTGAGTCGTCCCTCCAGCCCCACCATTGTCCCTTTCTATGAACAAACAGAAGGTTGTTAAATTCTCCCTGATGACCTCCCCTTCCATCTCACTGACAATGCCATACTGTGTGGCAAGAAGTGACCTTCACACCCAGCTTAGGAAATCTAGATTCACACCCTAGTCACCTGGACAGTCCTGAACTTACCCTTCCCCCAAAGCATTCAGTTATTGGGAGGGCAGGAGTGTGAATGGAATTGCTACTTCCCTTTAAGAGAGGAGAAATGGCTGCTGAGCAGTCAACTGGCAATCTTGGTCAAATTTCCTATCTCCCAATTTACCAAATACTTAGACTCTGAAATCTTCTTTGTTTTGTTTTGTTTTGTTTTTCGAGACAGGGTTTCTCTGTAGCTTTGGAGCCTGTCCTAGAACTAGCTCTGTAGACCAGGCTGGGCTCGAACTCATACAGATCCACCTGCCTCTGCCTCCTGAGTGCTGGGATTAAAGACGTGCGCCGCCACCACTCACCTATTAGACTCTAAATTCTTAGAAACTTTTGGTTTATGTAAACATAAGCTTCTCCTTTGCTCTTCCTTATAGTTACTATGTCAAGCTCTGCCTTATTTTTCTGTGAAGCCATGGAATCTCTCTATATCCTTTCTGTCTTTTGTCCCCTTCTGACATAAGGTCTCCTTTTCATGTGTTTACAGAATCTTTCTCAGGAGATGTTTAAAAATATCTAATAACTGGTTCCAACATGTGTACTGCCCAAATGGGTTTGTAGAGGCTGCTGGATCGGGCGCTTACCATGTCTTTGCTGGATCAGGAAATGCCCTGGAGGGTGGCAAGAGAAGACCAGGGAGGCTGGGAGAGGACCAGGCCTGCCTGTGTATCAACCGAAAGGGTTCCTTTTTTTCTGTTTGTTTTAAGGAGAGGAGACACGTGTGTGGTAGCAAAGAGTGAAAGGAATTCTTAACTACTTTTTGCTTCTGGTGGCTGATCTGTGGAAGAAAAAAGCATGGTAATGTTCAAGAAGTCCTTCACAGATGTGTGCACATGCCTATGTATACATGTATAAACGTGTGTGTGTGTGCACATACACGCGTGGGTGTACACACTCATGTGCCTCACTGAAGGATGAACATGCGACTTTGTGCTGCCAGGCAAGTGTTCTATCCCTGAACTCAACTCTCTTAATTTCTTACTTTGAAAGAAGGTCTTACTGAATTGCCCAGTTGGCCTTGAACTTGGTTAGTAGCCCAGGCAGGCCCTGACTTTGAGATCTGTAGCCCAGGCAGGTCCTGACTTTGAGATCCTTCTTCGGTAGTGGGGTTACAGTCTTGGGCACCAGCCTGCTTCCTTGTCGACCTTGATGTTTTGCAGAAATGCAAAGATGCCCAAGCTATTCAATTTGTAGTTATTATTTCCAAGGTCGAAGGCCCTGTTTGCTTTCTGAGGCCCTTGTGGTTGCTCAGTTTCTCTTGTCTTCAGTTTTGATAGCAGGGGTCAGAAGGTCTTCCTGGGTGTCACCAGAGTCTATAAGTGTGGGGCAGTTCTATTTCAGGGTGGGACCATGGTTTTCTTCTGTGCACATGGGTCACCACTGATGTCCCTAGTCTTGATCTTGTTCTCAAAGCTGTCACTACTGCATGAACTCAATCAGCTTAGTGCTGGCTCCATTTTTTCTTTTTAGTAACAAATATCAAAAAGCGCTTAGTTATACTCTCTTTAGCCAAAGAACTCATCCCAGGAGATCACAGACAGATGGGGGATTTCCGGGAGTCACTCGCAGGATCTGTAGTTGGATGCAAGAGCCTGGTTGTGCTCCAGGTGGAATTCTGTGAGTGTCTCCAGTTCCCGAGAGGTTAGATCCTCTCTCGTGGCTTATGGCTTATGTAATTACACTTCCTTGCCATGTGGAGTCTCTGTGTAATGGGAGAAAATCAGTATTGTAGGCCTGAGTGACACTTTGGTGTCATCTGAGTAGAAAGTGATCTTTTCACTCCAAGGTCCCTTTGCAGCTGCTGTCTTTCTAGAGAACTTGACTCCAAAGTCAGGAAATATTGATTTAGCGTCCAACATAGTATTTCTTCCGCAGGTTCGACTCCAGCCCTGCTCTCTCTGCACAACACGGGCAGTGCCAGTATGACCACAGCACAATTTCCTCAGCTTCTGTCCCATAATAGGTCATTTGAACTACCTTAGGCTTTAACTGCTGCATTACGCACAGTTATACGCATCTCTGTATATATCTTTGTTTTACATGCACACACGACACACACACACACACACACACACACACACACACACATACACAGAGGTTGTGTTTATTTTAGACAGGGTCTCAGGTATCCCAGGCTAGCTTCAACCTAGCTAAGCTGCTGAGGATGACCTTGAACTTCTGATCTTCCTGCCTCCACCTCCTGAGTGTGGGATTACAGGCATGTGCCATATGTGCCACTACGTGCAGTTTATACGGTGCTTCATGCATGCTAGGAAAGCACTCTGCCCGCTGAGCTCCGGCTCCAGTTTTATAAAATACTTACAGACAAATCCTACTTTTTATGCATTTCCTTCTCTAAAGGGAATCCAAAGTTCACAAGGCCCGATCAATTTTGTAATTTGACAAGGTGATGTAGAAGGCGTTTTTATTCTGGATTTAGAAACATCTTGTTTGCTTTTTTTTCCCCAGACTACTATAACCTCAGCAGCCTTGGGGGCATTTAGCAAGGTGAGCTAGCTCCTGGCAGCTGCCCTTCTGTCCAGGGTTGCTGTTTGAGGAGCTGGCCATGGACACTCTCCTGGCCTCTCTGAAAATGGTTTCCCCAGCTGCAGAGAGAGGAGAGGGGTCACTTTTTATTTTATTTTTTGTTTTGTTTTATTCGTTTTGTTTTTCAAGACAGGGTTTTTCTGTGGCTTTGGAGCATGTCCTGGAACTAGCTTTTGTAGACCAGGCTGGCCCCTAACTCATAGAGATCTGCCTGCCTCTGCCTCCCAAGTGCTGGGATTAAGGCGTGCGCCACCACCACCCGGAGAGGGATCACTTCCTACAACATCAGGCAAACCTAAGATCTGTAGGAGGTTGATTGGGTACCGGGATTTGAACAGCTCACTATCAAAGTGCTGTGCAGACGTTATGGAAAGTGCTGGTTCAGCACGGGAAGGAGGGACATAGACTGCCACCTGCTGGTGTGAAGCGTTAGTGTCTCGGTGATTGGGGAGCTTTCTTCTGGCCCAAGGCGAAGCCAGAGAGGAAGGGGCCCCCCCCCCCCCCCCAGGCTGGTCCCAGAAACGGAAGTCTTAAGATCATGTTTTTCTTTTGCCGATCAAACTGTGGGGGACGGGAGACGGCGGCTCTCTAAAGGCTGTTTGTAGAAGGAAGTGTGTTAGGTTTTGGAGACTGTGGAGGTGTTGGCAATATACATCTCCGCGACAGCAGGGGATCTTCATCGGTTATTCACTGGATCCTTCAGAGAGGCTGGCAGTCCCCAGTCCTTAGTCCACGGACACTCACAGAACATCGCGCCTGTGCCAGCCACACGCTTTGGCAAATATTATTGAGCGAGCTAGGCAGGATTCCTGCCTTTCTTACTGTCTGGCAGGGAATTTGGCAGAAAGATGAATTTCTTTTTAAACTGTTGTGCTTTCTTTTCTCTAGTTAGTTGAAGACAAAGTAGCATCTAAGAGGAAATTAAAAATGATATGGAACATAACATCTTGCCTCCCAAGCACTATAGCCGGTTTTATTTTAATACCTTCTGGTCCTGGGACTCTGAAATGGACATTTTTACAGCGCTACAATCAGAGTACATATGTTATCCTGAAGCTTGGGATAGTTCTCTCGCTATAAACATCTCTCAGTGTTGCTAATCTCCCTAATTACCCTGATCGCTCCGGGAGGGATGAATGTGAGGCTGTCATCAGAATCTATGTAGCAATTCTCTTCCGCCTAGAACTGCGGGGGTTTTCGTTTACTATAATAGCTATTGCTGATGTTAACGTTTTAGTGCTGACTTTATATTGCCCTATTTCTCAGTGATCATAATACAGTCCTCCTATGCGCTGTCATATTGCTTCCCAACAGAAGCATCGAAAATTTACAATGTCACCAACATTACCCCAGTGAATTTGTCTGTTGCAGGGCGGGGTATGTAAGATTGTTGCTTTGAAGCATTGCTGAGAGTTAATATCTGAACTTGGACTCCCAATTTTTCTTCAATCTATCTTTCTTTGGCCAGTACTCGGCAGGTTCTTTTTTTTAATTATTCATGCACTGTTTACAATTTTCTCAGGAATAAAATGTCTGCTTACGTTGTGGTTAAAGAAGTCAGTGGGTTCCTGTCAGATGTTTTTCCTTCATAGATAAAAGAGCAACCGAAAACTGGGTTCCTGACACCCTGAGAGTCAGAAGGCATTTATTACTCATTCAATGACACCTCCTTCTGGAATCTTCTCAAGGAAGCTCTCTCATTCCAGGCTCTAGAGTACAAGTCTAGTCTGCTGCCCAGAACCACTAAGTGAGAAAACTGACTCCAAAACACCCTTGGCCTGATCAGCTCACCAGTGGATAGGACATGGCTTCCCAGTGTGTGCGAACAGGAGTTGGACACCAGCCCAGGTAATAAACATGCAAATGAAGATCATGTGCTCAAAGAGTTCATTTGTCTCCAAGCAGCTCTGAAGAAGGGGGCGTGTCCTTGAGTGGCTCAGCTGGAAGGGCTCTCCCAGGAGGAGAGAGGCTGAAGCTCACACAACTGCTTAGATAAGGGTGAGCACTACAGCCTCCATCCATCTCAGTGCGAACAATCGGGGTTATCTCCTGACTGCCTTCTCTCCCTATCCCTCCTACTCTGAGCCCACCTGCAGGGTCCCCCAAGCCTGGATGATACAGAGCAAGCTCAGTACTGGGGGTCAATTTCCTTTGCCTGTGTCCCCAGCCAACAAAACTTCTGAGCCTTTCCGCTTGGAGAGCCTAAAGTACTATATATAGCACATAGTGTCTTTTTATTTGCTGTAATATTTTGCCAGTACATAAGTCTGTGTGTGTGTGTGTGTTGAAGGACCCCTCGTTTTAACCACAGTCATGCCGTTCTGCAAAGGTTTTCAGATAACAAGCTCCATTAAAGGCCTCCAGAATTCAGTGCCTCTGGAATGCTGAGCAAAGATACCTGAGGACAGCCTTATCTGGCTGCAAGACAGGAGATTTATGAATTGGTCATAGAAACAAAGAGAGAGAGGATTGCGAGGCCTGAGTCACGTATAAAGCGAGGCTCTCACGAGTCAGGGGCTGTGCAATCAGACATCTGGTCGCCAGCCAGGAAAGGGGGAGGTAGGATGAGAGGAACAGTAAACCACTGAGTAGGTCCCCTCATTGTTATCTAGGTTAAAAATTTACCACCCTGCATCTTGCTTCTGTAAACCTCGCTTTTTGCTCTCCTATAAGAACCCCTCACCCCCAACCTGCAGGCGCGCAAGTCCTCCCAGAGACTTGTCGCCCCCAGGTACCTGTGTATCCAATAAACCTCTTGCAATTTGCATCCGGCTGCGTGTTTTCGACTGATCTTTGGGCATGGGGTCTCTCTCGAGGGAAGACGCCCACGGGAGTCTTTCAGTGTGTGTGTGTGTGTGTGTGTGTGTGTGTGTGTGTGTGCGCGCGCGCGCGTGTGCGCGACACACACATGAGAGAGAGAGAAGGCAAGAGTGAATGAGAGAGAGAGAGAGAGAGAGAGAGAGAGAGAGAGAGAGAGAGAATGTGTGTGTGTGTGGCAGGATCAGGATCTCATATTTCCCTGGCTAGCTTCAAACTTGCTACAGGCCAAGGATGACCTTGAACTTTCTATCTTCCTGTCTCCTCCACTGCCCAAGGGCTAGAATTTGGTCTTTGTTTAGCATACTGGGGCAGAAGGATTGTTTGAGCCCAGGAATCTAAAGAAGCACAGTAAGACCTTCATCAAAACCAAACAAAAAGACCAAGAAAAGGAAAAGGGAGTCCATATAGACAGATGGTGAGAAAGCTAAGGAAAATTCCCTAAAGAAGAAGAAACAGAAGGTCCCTACGTATCAGGACCATAAAAAGCATAAATCAAGGTGAGAGAAACAGTGTGTTTATGAGTAGGGTGTACAGGAATATGGCCCAGGGCAAACTGCCTTGTTTCCAGGAAGGAGAAGGAGGTGCTGCAGGGTTGGGGCCAGGTGTGTGTGTGTGGGGACTAATAGAAGATTATTAGTGGCTTTCTGTGGTTTGATTTCTTTTTCTTTAAAAAGAAGCCATACAGGTGGGGCTGGAGGGGTGGCTCGGTGGTTAAGAGTGCTATCTGCTCTTGCAGAGGACCAATGTTTCAGTTCCCAACGTCCATAACTGCCCGTAACTCCAGCACCAAGGATTAGCACCAGGGAATCTGACACTGCCCTCTGGTCTCCCAGGATATCAAAACTTATGTCCTATGCTGGCCTCCATTGGCACACACTCAAGTGCACATCTACACACATGATACTAAATAAATAATAACAATCAGATATTATTTATAATTTAATAGTTTATCAGATAAAAAGAATCATCTTCATAAGTAAATAATCGCATAAGGGATTGAAATGGAGCTCAGTTGGTAGAGTGCTTGCTTAGCGCACAAAGCCCTGGGTTAGAGCCTTAGCACAGCACAGACTGGGTGTGGTGGTGTATTGCATATTTATAAGACCAGCACTCTAGTCCTGGAGGAGGGTCAACAGTTCATGGTCACCCTTGGCTACCTAGTTAAATGTGAGGCCAATCTGGGGTACATGAGACCCTGGTTTTAAAATAAGATGAAATCGGCATACTAATAACCTTCTTTGGCTACCTCTCTGCAGGCTTGTGGGAAGTGACTGAGCTGGCACATGGGAGTGCTCTTACAAACTGGAATGTCAGGCAAATGTCACAGAGGGGTTATTAGATACACCAGTAAGTTCTAATTCACTGCCCTCCAGAATTGCAACCACTCAGCTTATTCTTGGCTGTGTCTGATTGACAAGGCAGCATTTACTACCCATTGAGACTCTGAAAATTAGAACCTGGCACAGAGAAGGCCCTCCCTGTTAGCGCCACAACCCTAACTAACTTCCTAATGGTTCTCTACACTCAGATAAACTCGTGTGTGTTTCAGTTACACACACACACACACACACACACACACACACACACACACACACACAGAGCACCACCATTTGATTCTAGTCTGCCTACCCTTTGGAAATCCCAGTTCTCTTCTTTTCATTTTTTTTTTTTTCTTTGAGACAGGGTGACCTATGTAGCCCAGGCTGGCTTTGGACTTGTGATCCTCATGTTTTAGTCTGTAGAGTGCCATGATTATAGAGATTTGTCACAATACTTGGCTCTTGCTCTTTGGTGAGAAGTTCACTTGTAAAAGAATATATACGGCATACAATAGACATCTAGGCTCTCCGTTGCTGGGGTTACAGGCACACAAGCCTTTTAATCTTGGTGCTGTGGGTTCAAACTCAGGCCCTCAGGTCCTCGGGCTCTCAGAGCCAGCGGTCGTACCCACTGAGCCATCTCTCCAGCTCCCCTTGTTTTTTAAATGGAGCTTCACCACGTGCAGTATCGCTAGGCACTGCGTGATTTCAGTTTTCCACTCCCTGTGTTTTCACCAAGAGGACTGAGTTGTAGGTGTTCTTCCACAGCTGGCTTGCAGGTCTCATTCCCTGTTGCTGGGTACAGCTGTAGCTCACGCATTGCACAGGGTTCTGGCGTGGTAATATGCTGTGACTTTTGCTCCTCCAGAGAAGGGAGGTTTCAGTTATTTATGGTTTGGGGCTGTTATAAACAACGGTTATTCATGTCTCTGGCTGCATGTAAGAGTTAGTATTGATCTAGATGTGAAGCTGCTCAGTCATATGACATGCCTGTCTTTAGTTTTATCAGATAAGGCCAAGCTGTTGCTAATGGCTTAGCAGTTAACACTGTCCAACAGCGCACAAGAACTTTCCTTGTTCCGAGTTGCTGCCCTTGCCTGGTGCTGCCCACTTCAGTCTTCTGCGAACTGGGTGGTTTTGGGTCTGCATCTCCTTTTGGCTTTCCCTTCGCGTTGTCCCTGTTACTAAGGAGGTTCAGAATCTTCTCATGGTTGTGTTTCTTTTATATTTGCACATGTTTGAAATCCCTGTTTTGACCTTTCCCTAATTTTAAAAATGATTTATTTTTATTACATGCGTATGAGTCTTGCCTGCATATGTGTATGTGCACCATGTATGTGCCTGGTGCTGGAGGAGGTCAGAAGAGGGTGTTAGATTCTCTGGAACTGGAATTTCAGAGGGTCATCAGTTGCCAGTGGGTCCTCTGAGCTGAAACTGGGTCCTCTGAAAGAGCAGTTTAGTGACAGTAGTCCAGCTTGCCCTTTATCTCAAGATCTTTGCTTCAGCCTGGCACTATAGATAGGTGTGTATTACCAAGCCTTGCTTTCCTTTTTGAGCATGTGTGCATGTGCAGGCTTGTGTTCTCAGGTGCACTGTGGAATAGAGTCCAGTGTTGAGCCAGTCCTCACTTTCCCCCTTGAGTTAAGTTCTCCTGGCCACGGTGGGAGGCAGCCTAACTGGCTCAAGAGCGTCTGGGGGTTCTCTTGTCTCTGGTCTGCCATCTCATCCTAGAAGTTCAGGAATTACAGATGAGGATGCTTCAGTGTCCGGTTTTTCAGAGGTTCTGTGGATCAAAACTCAGGTCGTCAGTCATGAGTGGCAGGGACTCTACCCACCAAGCCATCTCCTCAGCCTCTTCTCTCCATTGTACAAGTTAAGTGCGTCTGTCTTTGTGCTGTGATTTGTAGCTGCTATTTGTCGATGACATCAGTTCTTTGCTGTTGTGTCACAGTTGTCTATGGCCTCTGGCTTGTCCCCTCATCTGTGGTGTAATGGTTTGGTTGGATACAAGTTCTTGATTTTAGCAAAATTGACCTCAATCTTTTCCTTTCACTTTAGCATCTTCAGAGCTGGAGTGTTTTCTTTTTTCTTTCTTTCTTTCTGTCTGTCTGTCTTCCCTCCCTCCCTCCCTCCCTCTCTCCCTTTTTCCCTTCCTTCTTTTCTTCCTTCCTTTTCCTTCCTTCCTTCCTCTTCTTCTTCTTCTTCTTCTTCTTCTTCTTCTTCTTCTTCTTCTTC